AGTAAGTTTTCGGCCAGCCCATGAAATGGAAGTTTCAGATACAGCGAAAATGACTGAAAAGAAGCAAAATCTGATCTCAGAGAAACGTCACTTTGTGAACATGCCAAAATTAATTTGAATAAATCTTTAAATGGTACTTAAACTATTTTTTCCATTAATATAGATTATATGTACAGTCTATTAATTAAAACTTATTTTCCTATTCTAATTAAGAAAACACACCTATATTCACTTCTTGTTTACTACTGTGTCTATTTTGTGTACCTCTGTCTTGGTATATGTCATAGTTCAAGGTGTAAAAGTTTAGAAAGCTTGGTTTTATGATACACTTGTATATATTTTTTACATATGACTCTAAAAACATCACTATATTTGAATGAGAAAATTTTAAAGGAGGTTTTTCCTCCAACAGACTTAAATAATAAATCACCTTACTCTTTGTATATCCCTGTATACTTTTTCCTTGTAGCTTGTTACCTAAGCTTTGCTATTTGAACAATGGTTTTCTTCTTCTCTAGCCTAATTTTCTTTTTAAATTTTGTCCTGTCATGAAGTTCTAACTGAATTTGTGACATCAGTCATTTCCATGGCAACAGACTGATGCTTTAAACATAGGATTATGATGAATTCAACACAGGATTGAGTAAGAGGAAAACAAGACTATGAGCAAGCAAGATTTTATTAGAGCACAATGGTGTTCTGTTAAAAGGGTGGAGAATGGAATTAAAATGCTGAATACACTTCAACTTTTTAACATTACAGTTCTGAGTGGTGGTCCATACATTGTGGTTATTTATTTCAGATGTTCACAGCATTTGATGTAACATCTGTGGCACTCAGACATTGCCAAAATTTTCAGACATACTCATTAGTCTTATATTAGATTCACAAGAATCTTGTGAATCTAATGTAAGACCTAGTGGGTTTTCATCACTACCTGCAGTTGCAAACAGAATCATAGAATTATAGAATCATAGACTGGTTTGGGTTGGAAAGGACCTTAATGATCATCTAGTCCCAACCCCCCTGCCACGGCCAGGGACACCTTCCACTAGATTAGGCTGCTCAAAGCTCCGTCCAACCGTCAAACACTTCCAGGGAGGGGACATCTTCAAATTCTCTGAGCAACTGGTTCCAGTGTCTCCCCACCCTCATAATGAAGAACTTTTTTCTTACATCTAATCTAAATCCACATTCTTTCAGTGTTAAATAATTACCCTTTGTCCTATCACTACATGCCCTTGTAAGAAGTTCCTCTCCAGCTTTCTTGTAACTTTATGTACTGGAAGGCTGCTATAAGGTCTCCCTGGACACTTCTTTTCTCTGGGCTGAACAACCCCAACTCTCTCAGCCTGTCTTCATAGGAGAGCTCCTCCAGCCCCCTGATCATCTTTGTGGCCTCCTCTGGACCTGCTCCAACAGGTCCACGTCCTCCTTATGTTGGGGGCCCCAGAGCTGGAAACAGCACTGCAGGTGGAGTCTCATGAAAGCGGAGCAGAGAATCATCTCCCTTGACCTGGTGGTCACGCTTCTCCTGATAAAGCCCAGGACACTGTTGGCTTTCTGGGCTGCAAATGCACATTGCCAGATCATGTTGAGCTTCTCTGCAGCCAAGGTCAGTAGACGTAGGAGGCTCTCATCACCTCTGAAAAATCATGCTTACAACATTGCAGGTTGAACTCTGAAAAACTGGAACACAGGCAACCATCAGGAAATATGGCTGTACATTAATTTGTTTTAGTAAGTTTATACTAAGAAATGCCATAGGTTTAAAATATTAAGAGTGATAAAAACACTTCTTTTAAAAAGTACTTGCAGTCCAGCACAACGTAAATTATGTAATGAAAAAAAAAATCTTGTTTTCTGTATATGACATTCCCATTAGCTGAATTCTGTTACTATGAAGTGTCTTGATGTAACACAGACATACACATGGATGGGGATTTCTGTTGGGTCAAATTCTTACTCCAGGCTAAAGGGCTACTGGTTGTATTAGAAATTTTACTAAAAACTTCATTCTGGGGTCAAAGCAGATCCTCGTAAGCAGTGACTTCTCAGAAGTTCCATCTTCTTCCCACCTCATCCTATACTGCACAGCTCAACTGAAGCTATACTGACAAGACTGAATATAGTCACTGAGGAACCAGATGCTGTGGTGATATCAAAACTACTAAGAAAATTACCAGTTTTTCATTCTTTGGTTAAGGAAGCTATGGTATTCCATGTTTCTGTGCAATGGCTGCTGGAAGGATCGTCAATTTTAGTCCTGCTCTGCCCAAGATGCACGAATCCAAAAATTCACTGGCAAAAGGTGCAGGATGAGGGAGGAGAAAGATGCCAAGGATACTCCGTGTCTCTGTTGCAAGAAATACCAATCCTGAGGTCATAATTAGTCTGATAAATACATGGATTAAGAATAACACCAAGAATTGTCCCAATATACCTAACTGTATTAAATACGTATTCCAGTGTTCAGTTTACTAACTCTTATGAACACCTTGGGAATTTCTTTCACTAAGCAGTTTTAAAATACTGATTCAGAACATGGAAACATCCCGTTCTTGTTCATATTTTTACTTTTTCATCTATTGTTAGTGTCCTGGTTTGGGCTGGAATAGAGTTAATGTTCCTTTTTGGTAACTAAAATAGTGCTGTGTTTTAGGTACAGCTTTGGGTTTGGTATGGGAAGAATGCTGATAGCCAACTGATGTTTTCAGCTGCTGCTGAGACTTCAAGGACTCTCCGACTCGCCATGTCCTGCCCGTGCGCGAGGGCACAGGGAGCAGGGAGGGAGAACGGCCACAGCACCAGACCCAAACTGGCCAGTGAAATATTCCATATCATGGCACGACATGCTCACTACATAGAGGAGGGGAGGTCGGGAAGGGGGGCTCTCTCTCACTTCTGGGATTGTGATTGCGGGATCTTGGTATTTTGGGATCGCTAGCCATGAAAGGGCTAGGTATTGGTCAGCGGGTGGTGAGCAACTGCACTGTGCATTGCCTGTTTTTATTTTCTATTACTGTCATTGTTTTCATTTTATTACCATTATTAAACCGTTTCTATCGCAACCTGTGACTCTCCCTTCGCGCCTCCAATTCCCTCCCCCATTCCCAAGTTGGAGGGGAGGGTGGGTGAGCAGCTGTGGGGCAGTTGGCTGCCAACCAGGCTCAAACCACAACAGTTAGACTGCATATACCACAGGAAAATGGCATGTTTGAAAGACTTAAATGAAAAAGGAAATTATACTCATTTTTTCAGGTATACTGTCGAAACAGCACAAATGCCACAAAACTGATGAAAGTTATGGGTTATTTCTGAAGTAGAAGATTGTGGACAATATTAGCCTAACATTCTGGCTCAGTCTTGGAAACCCGGTTTATGATTTTTTAAAGTCTTCCACTTTACTGAGGTGCCTATACACATAAACCTTTTTTTTTACCAGATACTGCCAGGGCTGAGAAGACAGGGTGTGTTATGCTTAGCAGATAAAACATACTTCACAGGGCATAAGGGAACTGGAATGTAGTTTCACCTTCCAGACATAAAGTGACATACACAAAAAGATACTATCTAGGAAGAAAATATTAACTATGACTCTGAAGACAGGTTAAGTTTGGTAGTAATTTTTCTTTAATTGATGCTTAATTTCACAAATTGCAAAACCTGATTCCTAGATGAGATCCTAATTTTGAGGATCTGCAAAAACATATATTTAGAGAATGTTAAGAAACCAGAAATCTGAAAATTGCTACATTGGAAATGGCTGTTTACTGGCATTGGTGAATAACTCTGCATTCTGTCTGTGCCTATGCACATAAAACACTTTCCACTTAGTACATATTTTTCTTTTATTTTCACATACCAATTGCTAGGTTCATTCTTCTTAGGGATCTTGCTTTCTTACATAGGCACATGACTTACAGTGGGCTGAGTAGAAAAAAGTTATGATGAAATCATTTTGACAAAACCTGGAGTCCTTACCTTGTGTAGATCCTAATTAATCAAGCCTTGTATCCATGTGAGATATAAACACTGTGATTACTTAACCTTTTGCTCTGTCCTGGAAATTTGCGTCATAAGGTTATTCAGATTCTTTGACATTAGAAGAGTTCTTACATATGACAGAATAAGCTTCCACTGAAAATGTTTATTCAGTTTATCCGACTGTCTTAATTGCATCATATGTAGAGTAATGAAGGCAGGAAAATACAGTTAAGGTTAGAATGTAAAAGATAACCTAGTCTAATGAAACTGAATAGAAGATCAAAAAAGCACCCAGTGTTTTCCCCATATGGCATGAAAAAGAATGTAAGGCATTTCTTAGAAAGAATTAAATATATTCAGTAGATCTATGCATGACAATCATAAAAGACTAAAAAGGAAAAGCAATAAGCATAAATATGTTTTACATCACAACAGCTTTGAATTTATGTTCAGAGTGATTTGTGCATAATGTGTCATATTTTTCAAGCAGTAACTATGCAATTGATTCTCTTCCAAAATGCTGCAGCTTTTAGTAAAAAGGTAAACACTTTCTTAAACTTTGCATATTATCTACAGTACATCCACTGTAAGCTCAGTTACTGTGTTTAGACATAAACGACCTAAAAAAAAAAAAAAAAAAGAAATTAGCTGAACAGAAGGGAAATGTAATTATGCCTTTCAGAAATGTAATACACATCTTAACTCCTGGCTTGTTCATCAACAGTAATAAAGAATTACATCTGACAAAACAGTCTGTGAAGTGCTGTTGATTTTTCTATAACATTTTATAACTTGAGCATAAAAGACCAGGTTTCTTTTAGCTCCTGGTAGGGACCTGGATTTCGTGTCAAATGTATTGCCTTTAAACAGTGCAGGGTTTCTTGGTAAGTTCTTTCCACTAGAAATCACATTATACCAGGACAGAAGCATTAAAGTGTTTTCCATCATCTGATTGTAATGATGACAGTAATTTTTAATTTGTTTCACTGAGAGTTCTACTGAAATGTCCTGTCTTACTTTAATTCAAAGACTTCTAAACAAAATGTTATTCAGATGAATTGCCCCTTTATTTCACCAAATGCTTGTTTGGATGGAAAACCCACTCTGTGCATCCAGATATTGTTTTTATTAAGTTAGTAATTTTTTGGCCCAAAATACTTACTTCTTTGGGCTAATACCTCGTTCTATTTCATTCTTCTCAATAGCATAGATTTGACAGGATTTTTACCTCCTTAGCAACAGTCCAAACAGCTTTTTACCACACATAGAGGCACCCTGATAATACTGGGAAATCCATTTTCTACTAGAATTTCATATCAACTTTCTTAAGTGCCAATTACATCAGTAATGTTCTACCTGCTTTCTGTGTTTCTTGTGTAGCTTTCACTGGCCCCCATATACTACATGAGAACTTGCCTTCTCAGTTGACAAAGCAAAGATCTTCTAAGATATGGTTAACAATAATGTTGGCTCTGGCACTCTTCAAAAGGATAGAGATGGAAGGGGAGTATTGCTTCATCCAATGACTTGTCCAGAAGTCTGAACATGAAAAAAATAAATTATCTTAACAATATTTATAAATAGATGAACAGGCTACATTCACTGTAAGAAAAGTATTCAATGATGTTGCAGTTTGTCTGAATGCAGAGTTATTATCTGAATATTAGTGAATATCTGTTCTGCTGAGTTACTTTAAAAACACAAGAAAGTTTTTAAAAAACTTTGGCAAAAACGACATACCAGTATTCAAAGACTTGGAGTTGTAATTACATACAAATACCTCAATTTTTAGGAATCTCCACTGTTGGTCAACTTTGCTTACATCTAGCCCCACAGAAATAAATACCTTTATTTCATGCCTTTTTGGGATAAACTGCATGCCCTGCCCCAAAAGAAAACATTCTATATATTTTCTTTACTAAATACCTGCCCAATTCCTGTTATAAATACCTTAGGACCTCCTTAGGCTCTGATCTTGCGGTATTATGTGGTTGTAATTCTGTGGCAACTACTGTCAATTTACCCATGCAAGGGAACTTGCTCAGCATGTTTATGTTCCTGTAATTGTTTCAGCATTCTGCGTTGTTTGTGATTGGCAGAGGATGGACAGACAACTTGGTTGTTTCCACCTTCCATGTTTGCGAGGTAGGATTTTAAGAAGTCCCTTGAGTAATTGGCTCACATATGCCAGGCACATGTCCACTGAATCAATCCAATGCAGTTGTCGTCATTTTCAAGATGTAAAAGTATATGCACAAATAAATGGAGTTAACATGAATGCAAAGACAAAATCTGTCCTGTGCTCTGAGGCACGAGTGACACACAGGTACATTTTTCAACAACACGTGTTAGAATGAGGTAGCAAGTGCCACGTAAGCAAACTTGTAACCACACTCAAGAAGACTGAGTTTAGTAAGAATAATTTCTGAAGAGAAAAAGTAAGATGTAGAAACATTATGTATCTTAGCATTATAATCTCAAAGCTGCACTGAGCAGAAAGAAAATAGACAATCTAAGGAAACAGCAGCCTGCAAAACATATTGAACAGGCATAGTGCCAGAAAGGGAACATGCTGTGTGTGCTACAATGTTATTAATAATATATAACAAGGGACTTTTCTTCAGCAGTATCAGTGTAAAAAAAGAGCAAAAAGGCTTTACAAAAAGTTAAAAATTAAGATTGGAAATACAAGTGTGCTAAATCTTTAACATAATAACCAGTAAAATTCTGCCATTAATAAAAAGCAGATATGTGAAAATTAGAAGAGTTAAAAGCTCCTGGCATGTGGCATGGAATTGAAACAACCTTTATAAACCAGCTTAGAGAACAGGTAGCTAATGGATCTCACTCTCAAATACCAACAGTCACTTTACAGAGACAATTAATTTCCAACTTACAAGAAAGACAAGTGATTTAGCTTCAAAAGCCAAAATTGGGTGCTCCATTTTCGCCCTAAAACATGTTCCCTTTTCACTTTAGTTATACACTGCCACTGATGTGCTCATCCCGGGAAAATGAAACTATTTGTTACACCTCCTCTACACGCACAACATAAGAAAATCAAAGCAACTTAGAACTAGGTGAGATTCCTTCCCATCCTTATTCCCACTTCACTGGACATACTGTCTACACCTTTTCACTGTTACCTGTAAATTCACATATTAGTATAAATACACATGCAATTATTTTTCTGGCTCACTTCAAATTTTTTATTGCTAATTTTAATAATTCTAGATTCCTAAATGAACATTGACAAGTACTTTCACATCCTCGATTTTAGGTACCTAATTTAGATCTTGAGTTTAGAGGCCACACTCCTCCATTATATTGAAGAGTGACATTGTTCCTCTAGAAAGTGAATCATGGCAGGTGCCCTGCACTGAAGCATGTTGAATAATGTTCTGAATAAACCTCTCTCCACTAACCATGTAGGCAGTTTCCCAGATTTCAGCACCTACACACTGTGTTGCCTAAGTTGAAACATTCTGCCTCAAAAACCCAGAAAAAGAAAAAAGACTCCCCTTATCCCAAGCCCCAAATCCTCCTCCCCTCAGACTGTATTTTCAAACAAAAGCTGTGAGCAAAGTTAAAAAAGAGGCTGCACATTTTCCTTTTCAGTCTCCACCCTGTACACTGTGAGAACCTGCAACCTGATGTGAATGGACTTTCCGGGGTAATTTGAAATGTAAAATTAATTAGAGTGAAGGACCTTCAAGTTTTTTCCCTTGGATTAGATTACGATTGAGTGACCATATTAAAAGCAACAGCTGAGTGCAGAGAATTGCTGAGAATTGCTCCCTCTACTCTGGCTCTATTTTCATTCATGCTAACAATGCTTCTCTGGACATAGAGGAGGTTGAGTCAAGATTTATACAGTTGTGCTAAATCAATTTATTTTACCCATCACCAAGTATCAATATTTAGATTTCTGTGTGCAGCAGCAATCAGGTTACCAAGCAGTGTCATATGTTATTTAGGTAGTTACTTAACAGTTTTGTGTCAGTTGCTTAATTTTTTTTTTTTCTTATTAGGATACATTTTTAAATAATAATCAGCATGTCAGTATACTTTCACTCTGTAACTAAATCTGCTTTCCATGTACTATGTTGGCTTTAAAGCTGTGTTGTTACAACTAAACCACACTGAAATAAAGAGGGAACAAGAGAATATGGAAAACTTTGCTTTCATCCAATAGTCCCAATTCATGCTTGAATGCCATGGGAGGAGCTGAATATACAGCATTATAAAATGCACCGTAGTATTAAATTACCAAAATAAAACACACTTATGAGCATCATACAGTTTTAAGCATAATACTCACATTCTTTGAGAGAGACACAGTTCAAAATACATGATGACCCACTACAGCAGGCACCTTTATGTCTGTCAAAAATGTAAAATTTAATTTAAAAAATTTTACTCTGTAGACTGAAAAAAATCTTCAAGAGCTTTGTTATGTTACAATGATAGCTATATTACCACTCTTCACTAACATTCTGTTTTCAAAATTTACTAAAGAGGTCACTGGAAATAAAACTTTTTATCTAGGTGTAAACATGCCTTAGCAATGTAGATGTGGGAAACGGAAGTAAAAGTGAAGAGAAATTAAATTTTGTTTTCACTTCTTATGCTAAGAAAGAAAAATCAAACAGTGATGGTGTAAAAGAAAACTGTACTTCCAAAATTCTTTCAGCTTCCATCATGACCATGGGTGTTTGTACAACAGACACTAGGCTACTGGGCTTGATTCCATATGCAGACCTCTGCTCAGTAAAGTGTTCGCTAGTCCTTGAGTCTGGGAACCACTGCAAATGACAACACGTCTGCCTTCAGCTTAAAGGCAACATTATGGTACTGTAGTGAATCTGTATCTGCTTCTAATGCCTTTTTACCTTATCCTGTGTCTTTCAGAATAGTGCTCTCTGTTTCTGTTGACGTAATTGGGTATGATCTTTCAAAACTTATTCTCATAAGCTAAAATGTTCTTCAACTGTGAATAAAATTTCCAGGGTGGGTATTCTTTATTCCTTTCTACTGGAAAGGTCTTTAGCATACTGTGGCCACTACTGAACAGGCTGTTAATCACAAGCTATAGTGCTGTTTAAATAGTAAAACATAATAAATGCAAGGCGATAGTCTGCCTGTTCCTCCCCCCCCCGTACATTTGCCCTTCATGGTGCTCTTCAAGAACAAATAGGTCATTATTTTTAGACTTTAATTTCTCCAGAAGGAAAGCCGTGGAGGAGCTGCTGAGCAACCACATGAAGAATGCAGTAGCTAGTTTTCCCAAATGACAACCAAAATGGCTCCATCTGAGCCTCTGCTCAGAAGCAGTAGAACTTTATGCCTCTGATTAAGTAACACCGAGTTTTGAAAACTACAGGGGGTGAGCTGAAAGACATGTTTTCAATTCTCAAAGCCTAATTCTCTGAAGTAAATAAACTTTTTAGGAAACGAACTTCACAGCTTTAGAAGCCACCTTACTGTCCTGGATTAACTGCAGCTATAGCAGTATTTCCCCAAGTCCTGTGTAAGGAGTCACATGAACTTCTTTATTTATATCTAACATATATACACACATACTCTGGCTCAACTAAAGGCTATGGTATTGACACATGGATGGGTGAAATTCTACTGGCCTTTTGAAACAGGTCTTTTAATGTGAATTTGCAGCTAAAGATGGTAACTATCTCCCCCCCTCCACCCTTACCACTGACATACTTTGACATGCTTTGTGCCAGTACACCTGCCAGTGTGCAGGGAGGACAAGCTGACACCATGGTGGTGCTGCTCACACAACTAAATCCAGCTCTGAATACCAAGTCATATTAGTTTGGTTCTTACTTGTGCAAAGCAACAGTAAATCTGAGTGCTCGAAAGAGAGGAGAGTGGGTGTAGAGAAGAGAAACCAGTGTGAGCTGTGTTTGATCTCCACGGGCAGAACCGGACGCTACCTGGTTTATGTTATACACCGTAGTTGCGTCGGTCAGGGAATGGGCAGGGCTGCAACACCCGAAGAGCAGCGAGAGCTGAACGGTTCACGTGCGTTCTCTCCGGCAGCCCTTCATGCAGGGCCACAACGCCCGAGCGTGTCGCCTTGCAGCCACGATCCAGGTGAGCTCAGCACAAACAACTGCGCCGGCCTCACTTCCGCCGCCACCGAGAATTCCCAGGAAGCCTAAACACCACTTTGTACCGATGAGAAACTTCCCCGGGCACCAGCGTGTTGCAAGCCGTGCGCGAGAAACCTCAGACCTTTCCCAGCTAACGACGCGGCCCGCGGCGGGCGACGCCCCAAAGGCTCCCGGGCGGCCGTTGGGCGCGCGAGCCGCGCGCAGCTCCCTCGCGCCTCGGCGGCGGTGGCGGCGGCCGGGAGGGAGGAGGGGGCCGGCGGCGCCCCGTGCGCGCCGCAGCAGGTCACGTGGGCGGCGGTGCCGGGGCCGGCGGTCGCGCGAGGTGGAGGCGGCGCAGGCAGCAGCATGGCGGCGGCGCTGGGCCTCCTGCGAGGCCGAGTCAGGCTGGCAGCCGCAGCCGCCGCCGCCACCTCCGCCCTCGGCCGGCCCGGCCGCCGGGCGCCGGTGCGGAGAGTCGCCGCCGCCGCTCTCCCCTCGGCCGGGAGGAGCTACGGTTCCGAGGCGAAGGAAGAGGAGGAGCTGCGGGTCCGGTACCTGGATGACGAGCACAAAGGTAACGGGGGGGAAGGCAGCGGCCGGGCGGCGCGGTGCCCCGGCTGCGGCAGCGCCCGGGCCCGGGTGACCTTTGCGCGCCCTGTGGCGGCCGCCACGGCGGGGGAGGGAGGGCCCGGGTGGGGGCTGCCCGGCGGCGAGGGGCGGGAAGCGAGCGGCGGCTCCGCCTCCCCCCCCGGCCGGAGGCTTCGTCGCAGGGTGCTACGACCTGCTGGCACGGCAACTGCTGGGCTGGGTCGGCTCGGGCTCCTTTCAGAAAGAACGCACAGTGTGTGTGGGGTGCAGCCTTCTGAGCTGGCATCTGGTGGCCACTTCAACGGGGGAAAATGAAGTTTGGCACTTGTTACATGCTTGTGTGCAGGGGCAGACAAGGATGCAGGAGTTGCATCGACGTTTTCTGTTTTGGAAAGCGTGGCTTCAGCACTCTCGCTCATCTCATCCTGCTTTCCTAGTAACCATCTCGCCCTCCTCCTTGCTTTTAGCTCTACCAGCTGCTGCTGACCTCGTTCTGCTCAACTATACCCAGTCTTGTCTTAACCCACCTGGTTAAACAAAGAAAGAAAATCCGTGCACCAGAGTGATCTGGAGCCAGTGCATCGCAACATGGACGCTTTGTACTTCCTTTTCTGGTTTGGTGCTCACCAGACTTTGGTGGTGTTCTTCCTTCAGAGGTGTTTCGCCTCCTTTGGTGTTTGTCACCATTTGCGTGCAGCAGGGCTGGGAATGGTGGAGAAACAGTCTCAGTTCCTGAGAATTTATTTTTAGATCCACGATGTTGTACCTACTTTTACAAAGAGGTCTGTAGTGAGGAGCTCTATTCACCTGCAACACATGAATCTCTTTGAGTGGATAGTATATCTTGGAATAACCATATGTTGAGATGCACAGTTCAGTTTACGTGTTTCAGCATGTTAACTCAGTTATTTCAGACTTGCTGCAGATTCGGGCAAATGACTGTGAGTTGAGTATGCCTATATATAGATTTGTATACATATACAGAGAGGTAACTTTAAAACTTTGAATTTTAGCCTGAGGCTTAGAAAATGATTCTTTTTCAAAGGAAAACTGAGGTTCTGCTTTCCTCCAAGGACAGGTTTTTCTGTCACTGTCACAAGTCAGTGAAGTTGGTGATGTAATATGATCCTGAAATCCACTTCTGTCATGGTGATTGTTCTGTCCCAACTCTTTCCAGTTCCATTAAGATGTATCTCTTTAGTCCTGTTTTCTCAACCAGCTGTGGAAGTTGGAATTCATTTTAAACATCTATTTTATTTTTTTAAGGTTATTTTAAATTGAGGGAGAGGCAAGGCAGGAGCAAAGAAGAGTTTGCAAAATGTTGGGGAGTGTCTTTGCTTGTTTGTTCTGTGCTTTACCAACAAATGGTAGAAAATACTTGAATACTACTCAAGATCATGATTTTTATTTCTGCTATTATACAACAAACAGTAGAATTAGATACTGTGTTCCAGCTGTTGAATCAGCTAGGAATCATTGCTTTTGTAATGTTACAAAGGTGTTTTGTGCTGTGTATCTATGCTAAGTTCATTGCTGAGTGGTTTTGATGCACGTACTGTAAGTTTGATAATGCCAAGAATTGAAGGAGGTTTTTGAAGGAAAGGTGCGGAGATAGCTAAAATTTTGCATGTCAGTAGCTCACCTGTTTTTATTTTTTTTGTGTGGAAAAAATCTTGGTGTTGGTTTTTCTTTCCTTCTCAGGATATACATCTTTAACTGTGGCATTAAAAATGCCCCAAATCATGGAGATAGCATTTGGAGTGTTAAATCAACTGTGGCTATCATAAGGAAGGTTTCAATCAATGTATTTTTAATTCATTAATTCTTTTCAGGAGAAGGAGTTTTCTTTGGCTCTGTCTTTCAGAAGGACATAGAAACTGATAAGGATAAGAGCAAACGTCTTGAAGTAAGCCAGAAGGAGACATAAGCTTCATATGCTTCCTTCAGAAGCACGAAGAGCAGACCACATTTCTGTGAAAGAAACATGTCTCTTGCTTCCTCCCTGTTCTGCTACTGCACACCTTCTTCCTCGCCTTGTGTGTCATCTATCTCTATCTGCTTACAGCACATACTACTCCGGATGCATTAGGATGCTAACTCCATATAAGACCCTGTGTTCTTTCTCGGGCTTCTCTAGCCTACCTTTCCTTTTTCCACTAGCTCATGTTCTAGACCTTGCCAAGTGGGACCCTGGTGCTGTTGCCTCATCATATTCTTCTATTACATACTTCATGACTATACACAGGGACAGACTCTGTCCCTCTGACAACTTTTTACAGCTCACAAATACTCACTTGTGCTGTGGTTATGCTCTTGTCCACACCTGGTCTTTCTGTGCTACTTGGAGAAGGATCTGTTGTTGTCCACGGGCTTCTAGAGCTGCGGGTGCTGAGGAGGCAGGAAAACTGACAGTAACTGTCTCACATGGGTGCACATACCTTATAGCTCTAGACAAATCTTTGCCTGCAGGCAAAGTAGCAAACTGTCCTGCTTCATAACACTTTCATGTGATATGTATACCACAGTTTTTGGGAAGTTGTCAAACATAAACTGAAATGAGACTACATTTGAAAAGGCTGGATACTGAAATTTTAACTCAAGACTTTCAAGCTTCTAAATTTGAACTGAAGTAGAATTTAATTGTAAAATACCTGTGAATTCTGAACATGTTACAACTTGTGAAGGTTTTAGCATCAGTTTTCTGTGAGTACAGGTGAATGTGAGCTTTTGCTCTTTAAGTTATAGATGGAATTAGGAGAAGTATCGCTGCAGTCTTGACTCAACTGTTAAAGTGTCACTTGCTGGAATGTGATATAAATATTTGTAAAATTTAGATTTTACACTAGAATGACTATTTGTGCTTCTATTTTCCACCTGGTTTTAGTTCATATAGAATATGTAAGACAGCCTTTTGTCCTCATCGGTTAGAAATTTAACATACATGGAATTGGCAGAACAAATACGGCCTCCGTTTAAGTTGTTTGGAGGTTGGAAACTGATAACTAGCTGGTAAGTCGGAAAGTTTTCCCTTCTTTTGCTCTTTTTAAATAAAGCAGGGTTGAGAAGATGAGCTCAACTAATTTAAAAAGTGTGGGAAAGATTTTCGTGGTGTTGAGAGGTAAAAAAGGTGCAGGTACGTGACTTTGAAGAGTGTTTTGGTATTTTTTAAAAATACTGCTTGGGACTCATCTGTATGATCTGGCACTTAAATACTTATTGATAAGCCAATCAGTGGAAATCACCAGAATTGTGCATGATACACTCACCATAGATTCTTGTTTTGCTTAAGAAACCATTCTAGAAATAGACATCTAAGTCAACTTGTCTACCTTGGTTTATCTGAGCAGTTAAGTGAGACAAGCTTAAAAAAACCTTAGCTGTCTTTGATCTTTCCTCCATTTTTCAGTGCATAATTCAGATATTTTTTTTTCCTTAGTTATGAAAAAGTACCTCTGGATAGATCATTTGTGTGTGTATACTTAATACAAATAAATGTATTTCCATAAGTACTTTTTCTGCAGATACAATGAATCTTTCTAGCTCAAACAGAATTACTGGTATGAGTGTAAAGACAGGAATTATTTGTAGGTAACTATTTAAATGTGTTTCTACCAAACATTGAGGATGAGTATTTTTTGAAAACTAAAAAGTACAAGATGAACCAGATAAAAATAATTATTTAAAGTAAGATTTCCTGCGTGCTGATAAAAACTGTAGTTAAACCACAATCTAATCACTTCACTTAAATTGGTGCACCCTGTTTTGTACAGTATAGAAAGAAATATGATCTTCTCTCTCAGCAGTTTTAAATAATTATAGCATCACTTATTTTTGCTATCACTCTTAAAATGCAAGAACCTTTCAATATGAACTACTTATATGCAAATCTCAAATTTAGTGTACACTGAAATGAGGATGCTTTTGAGAATTCGCAGGTATTTTGAACTTATCTGTCATATATGTATGTATATTTATGCTACTGAAAGACATTTTTTGTTTTTATTGTATATGACTTTTGTATAGTTTTCCCTTAAACTTTAAGAATAATATCACAGGCAGCTTTCTCTTTTGATAAAGGTAACTTGTAAGCAGACAACATATTGTACGTTTGCATATACTTTTCCTCTGATGGTTGACTAGGCAAGTAATACACAGGGATATTACTGCTTGTATTAGACAGCATTGGGAGTCATCCTAGTCCCTTGGAGAGCCTAGGTAACAGGGTGAGTTAGTTTTTAATATGTGGGTGCAATTTTTAATAGATCCACATTATTTGCTGAAGAGTGTCCTGAAATAATATGGATGAATTCCAGGAAAAACTATGAAATTAATACGGAGTTTAGCATTGTGTGAATGCTTACTCCTTTTTAGTATATCTGACACTTCTTTGACACCATACAGATACTGGAATTTCATTATTATTTCTGATATTTGTTGATGAATGTAATGATGACTGTCATGGTTTGAGCTCAGAGGGCAACTGAGCACCATGCAGACGCTAACATATCCCTTCTACCCCAGCGCTGATAAGGGACAAATAAGCCAGGCTTGGGATTTGAGATAGGACCGGGAGGGGCAAATCACCCATTAT